GTTCGGGGAGCGCTTTATCTGAGTTATTGCATTGTTCTATCTTTCGCTCAGTAAATAAAAAAACAAAAGGAGAATAATGCAATAGCTCTGACAAAAATAAGAAGCTTTATAAAGCGCTGACAACCGTTCTATGAAAATTTTCTGAGAATTTATACGCTTTCAAACTATGTAAGAATACTTATACAGAATGTTCCATTTTAATGTTCTATCCTAAATAGAAGATGATCCAAAACTCGGGATCGAAACGTTAAACAATTTAAACATTTTTAATAAATCCTATATTTCACACACTAATGTCCGTGTTTAGGCTCTTATTGGCTCTTTTGATCCTTCTTTTTTATAGATTATTTTCTGAATTTTGTCATCGGTTAATTTTTAATCAATTGTGAATTATTTACATTTGACATTAATTGCTGGCTATTGTGTTATATGCGACCTCGTACCTGTTCGGACAGTGTTTCAATCCCACCCTTCTCCGTTAGGCCAAAGCTAGCTGGCTCATCACGTCGAGTGGCGCATTTTTGATGAGAAAATTCGTCGACTTGGCATGGTAGCATACTCATTAGTATCTGATCTTCTTTTCCTCCCCTGAATCGATTCGAGAGATCGCGCGGACTCTTGCTCGTTGTTCACACAAATCTTGTTTCGAGTGGAGCGGCGCGAGAAGTCGCTCTTGAAGAGCGAAAATCGTTACAATACATATCGTTAAACTATATATAAATTTTAGGTATAACTTTTGTCGTGGTAGTCTTGAAGAAATAAAACAACGCATAAAAGATCTCTATGACTATTGGGTAATTCCTAATTTTAAAGATCATTCACCGGAATGGGAACACATGACACGATGTCTCGTCGAACCTATGAACTATTTTCCTTTTGTGTACATTCCTTACAAGGCGATGATATTAATAGCTACAGACATATTAAATTTAAATATGCCCAATTTATATGGATCCCTTAATTACACAGAATGGATTGCTTACAAAAGCTGGACGTGAGTATTATATATATTGTTGTTATATATTGTTGTTATATATTATTATATATTGTTGTTTTGATATAAATATTCAATACATTAATACGGTAGGAATTCTCTGATTATATTAGTATAGAAATTATAAATCTTATTGTTAGTATAGAAATTATATTAAGTATAGGTACATAATGTAACGTATCTTTTCAATAATTTCAGATTTCTATTACGCAAAGCTTTAAAATTTTCTATCATTCGATACATCTTTAACAAAATGGTACGTAAAATAATAAATACAGCAATGAATTTCAGTCCAGAGCAGCTAACAAAACTTCAAGAAAAATCAGATAAACAGTTAAAGCAAAGATATAAAAGTTCATAAAATATTTTTGTAAAAATAATGCATGGGCAATGAAAATGAGAAGAAAATAACGATAGGAATAGCGATAACAATTTCAAGCCGTTAAACTAATACAATCCATATAACATTATAAGACATAAACTTGATTTAATCTAAACCATAAGATCGGATTATATACAGTGTATAAAAAGTACCGGTATCGCGAAAAATCTCGAAAACTAAGCATTTTACAAAAAAGTATTTCTTAAAAAGATAAAAGATTATAGTGTTTTAAAGGATCTATTTACGAGTCTTATCAGTTTGACCTTAAATGACATTCTTTTTTTTATTATTACAGAAATACAAGAAATATTTTTAACAATTTAAACAAAACTTTCTTTTTACTTCTGTTTATGTCACTTTGTAGCACTTAACTTGATGTGAAACTTTTGTTTCTAACATTTTTCTGTATCTCTTGTACTTTAAGAGATATACGATAAGAGAGCAAAAAAGTATAAATATAAGCGTTCTTATATTTTTGAAGTCAAAAATCATACCTTGAAAGTAAAGGTATAGATATGTAAAATAGATATCGTTACTTTTGATACTTTATAGATATCGATACTTTGATTTGAATACTGTAATAAGTACTGGTATCAAAACTTTACTGGTATCGAATCAACTCTACTCACGTGCACTGGCTACTTACTGCGACGACACCACTCTGTAACAAAATAGAATTCTATTGTTAGATTCATAATTTGTAAAAAAAATTAGGTGTACCCTAATACATATTCTATTGTAATGGAAAAAATTGTAAAATAAAACTTGAAAATTGAAAACACTGATAAAGAATTATAATAAAGCAGTAAAAGATATACTTCTTGAAATTGCAGTTTTTCAGACATATATATTTGTGTACCGTCAAAACATTTTTGTATAATAAAAGTATATATGTAGTGTTTTTAAGAAAATAAAATAAAATTTTTATAAAGCAGCAAATAATGATAAAAGAAGATACCTGACTACATTTCACGAATTCTAATGCTGCTCCCTAAAATAATATTTTTTTCTTGACTATCACATTTATGTTGTATGAAAAGTTGCAATGTTTGTTTTTTATCCTTTTCTTTTTATCTTTTCTGTTCTCCTTCCTCATCTTCTCATCACGTGTCATTTTAAATTTCAAAAAAAATCAAATCCACGCTTGCGAGTACTCACACACCTGAAGAAGTGCGAAGTTAATAATTTTTTATAATAATTAATATTAATTATATCAGCAATTAATGTTCCGAGATATATTCTTTTATTTAAAAAATAAAATAACAAAAAACATACGCTGTCTTGCGTGAATATTACAATATTTACCTTCCATGAAAACTTGGAAGGATGTTGACTTAAAAGGATGTCCCCATGCGAGAACTGCAGATATTTCCGTTTCTTTTTTAATTATTCATTAAAATCATCATTAAATCTGTGCAGGTCATAATTTTACATACACTAAAATAAGTAATATTACGTACGTAAAATTACCGTCACGTTTAAATTCTTGTCGAGATTCGTCCTTCAAATTGAAATTTCTGAGTTCGGCGTGTAAAAGCACGCCTGGCGCGCAACTTTCGAATTAGGTGAGTAAAAATTTAGTTTCACATGAATCAATTGAGCCACAGGTCGCTCTCGCAAGAAAACTATAAATGAATAAACTATTTTTAGTTTATTCATTTATAGTTTCTATAAATTTCTATATAACTATTTTAGTTTATTCATTTTATAATATAAATTTTCGCGCTTTTACAATCGGACGCGCTTTTACAAACGGGAAGATGATTTATAAGGAGAAGGATACAACGTGTACGATAAGCTTGATTTTCCTCGGTAAAATATGCGTGAAAAAATCCGGGGCAGTTAATCACTCCCCGAAGTTAATTAGCGCATGATTAATTAACCGTATGTCAAGGTATCAAATCGACCGATCTCACCAAAGTTCGCTGACTTCAGTTTGCAACTTTGGCTTAACATCGATGTAACGATGTAACGAGCAAATTACGAAAATTAGACACAATTTAAACACAATTGCAAGTGTAACTACGTTCGGATACGCTTGCGAAGTCGGTACGTGAATCATCAACTTTTATGTTTTACGTGAAGTTGGTATGTAGAGTTCCTGAAATACACTCTCTCATTCAATAGCTACCCAGCAAACAAAATGGTGGCAACATGCCGGTATTATGCAAGCATGCTTTCAAAGCGTGATGTCTCTGTGATTGCCAGATACAAGTTCATCTAGCAAGCATCGCGATGACACGTTACGCTTACCACTCTATGCAAGCTTTGTGCAAGCAGAATATGCGTCAAATTGAAAAGTGTCGACCTCTGTCGTCATTTATCTCATTATTTTTAGCATGTCATGATATCAATTTGCTAGCATACCAACGCGTGGCATCACTGAACAACACTGTACCAATATATTGTTCACATGACATGCTTTCACGGCGTGCTGACACGTGATGTTTGCTGGGTACTGTTACTTTTATACGTAACATACGAAGACGACTTGACCGATTATAGTACACGTGTTTTCCAGCACAGGTAAACTTCAGACGCGCGTTTATCGACGGCGAAGTCGTGAAATTTGTGTTAGAAACATATGTTAGAAAAATTTATCTACTAGATATACTCTCGACTGATAGTAATCTTTAGTCTCTCATTAGAAATATGTATTTTTTATAGTTTTTTTTAGTATAAGTAAAGAAATTTATAAATTTTAACTATAATATATCCTGCAAATTATATACATAAAAAAATTTGCTAGAAATATATACTAAAAATAACACAAAAAATCTTTGCTTAAGATAACGTTACAAGCGAATCTTGTTTACCTAAAGTGCTAAGTTCATCAGAGATACCAGAAGAGCCAGCTGCTGTTTGATCCGTCGAGTTATACTTGCGTTAGAACATGGTAGATGTCATCCAAGATATCTAAGAGAATTAGTTTATCTACACGTTATGAATTGTTTTAATCTCATTAACTATACTGGGAGATTGTAATAAAATTCAAGAAATTCAAAGATAAAATAAATATACTACTTTATTTATTTAAAAAAATTAAAAATAATTTTTATAAAGAAAATGAGAGTTTTTATATTATAATGGAAAGATAATTTTATAAAAATAGATGAGAGATATAAATATACACTTTATTAAAAAATTTCAGTTTTATTTTAATCTGTCGCGCCAACAGGATCGATACCGGGCGATATAACGCGTTGCATGCGATTAGGAAATTCTCGCGAAATTAAATTTCCACGAGACTGAACGTAGTTTATGTCCGCTCTATAGGAGTATATACTATAATATACCGCGCTCACGAAAGAGACAATAATCTTGCTGCGCGCACATCGAGGGATCACAGAATATATAATAAATTCTCAATCACAATATTAGATATCAAAAGCGGAACTTACTCTCACTCTCTCTCTCTCTCTCTCTCTCTCTTTATCTGTCTATCTATGTATCCATCTCTCCCTTTCTTCGATCGTCTATCTCTATGGTAGATGGACAAACAATCGGTTGACATAAGCGAACAGTATCGATAATCGTGAAAGCAGCGGCGCAAATTGGGACTAAGGTAATGCCACGGACGTTGCCATCGTTGCTGATAGGACATCCTCCTACGCGTACTCGCGTGCATTTGTGTACGTACGTGTGTATGGGTTGCGTGTAGCTTTGAACGCAAACCGCACACATACGTACGAATGCAGTTGCACACGTGGCGCGGTCACGTATATGCGGTATACGTATGATTTGCTGGAATCGGCTTTGCGGTCGACCAGCGAATATATCACTGCAGCTTTTGTAGCTTTGATTCCGATCGCCGACGAGAATGAGGGTCAGCGGTGCACCACCCAGCTATTTTTGTAGCTCCCCGTAGCTACCTCTCCAAAATGAAGCTCCCGCATTGCGCGCTGTTCCATCTGCGATCGTTGCTCGCGGCGACTCTCTCGAAAATTGCCACTTCCAGCGAAGATGTATCAAGAGGGATTTAACCCTTTGACGCAGCTTTTGGCCACGCTGTACAGCCTCCACGTAAACAACTGCGTTATATTTCATAACACGTTGCAAAAAAAAAAAATCAAACTGAACATACACATTAAAATGATTAAATTTAAATTTTATTGCGAAAATAAATTAAATAATAATATATTTAAGAGAGAAATAATGGATAATTCATCTTTTCGTGTCACCTCGGCAGATTCGCGAGGTACTGAATAAGCGAGAGACCATCAACCTCTTTTCAGCAATAAAAAGTGAAACGATATAATCCGTTATTCTTGGAAATTGCAAAAAAAACTTTGGCACACTACCCGTGCCAATGGACTTCTCTCGTTTTCAGTTTTAAGCCCGGATTTGCATTTAAGTTATTTGATATACACATCGAAATTTGAATCTCTATCAAGAGATTTATCAAGTACCGACACACGCACCCGCTTATATCTCTATTAATTAAAAACTAGAGTCGTCTTCTTAATTTAATTATTATACAAAATATGCGTATTCGTGCGTTTTAAGCTATGAGTCAACTAAATCCCGCTATGTATATATCCCGTCTTGTATCAAGTTCATCTGCAGTATATAATCTAGAGTTAAACAAAGTTAAACAAGAAGAGTTAGACAACGAAGGTGCTATCTCACCTCGGTCTCTGTTAACAAACATGTGTCGGAGCGTCTTCTTTGAACGTCGTGCGGGAGTCATCGATCCGCCTTATCTCTCGCGATCCCTATTGTGCCGGGCGCTTTAACGAGTGCCGATGGGACCGGTAAGCACGACGGCACAAGAAAGAAGAGAAGGGTTAAAAAGAAACGGCGACTGGGGTGAGGGATACATAAGAGTAACAGTCGTCGGGTGAGTAAAAGGGGGGACTCTCTTTTCGCGGCCGGTATTAAAGCCATCCTCGTAGCTTGGCACTGAAGAGTCCCCGAAGAACGCTATGGTATTCGCGTTGGTCTCCCGAGGGACTTCAAGAATGGAAAAGCCCGCGTTGTGGACCACGTACACACGTCGCACAACGAGTTAAGGAGGATGGAACTTCCTCACTACGGTGTATAGTCGCGTAAATAAAAATAACGTCGCTTTCTGCGAGAGACGGCTGCTAAATGAGCCGCTCCTGCTGGATCATTTGTCACCCCGACCCGAGCTGTACGCTTGATATTACCGTTGTGAGCCGAGGGTGTCATTATACGACGGCGGTCAATCATCGAGCAACGAGCGGCGTTTATGCGGACGTTAATTGTTGCGATTCTTTTGCAACGCTCTCTGTACATCCGCACTCTTTGCGGCGAGAAGCGCGTCTTTTCAAGATTGAACATGTTTTTTTTTCAAACAAGTTTGTTATTATGCGATCGTTCGCGTTGTAACGAAGTAAAACTGAATTAAAAGTTAACAAAAAATGTGTGTGTTATTTATTTTCTTAATTAATAATAATAATAATAATAATAATAATAATAATATAGATTTTTTAATATATGAACTAAAATTAATTATAAAAACAGAGAGAGATATTTTATCAAAATTGTACAATTTAAATTAGAAAACGAGTTATAATAAGATACAAAGCGTTTATATATAGGAGGCGTGATATAATGTGGTAGATTGTTTTATTTACATACAAGTTTTATGGAATATTAGGTTTGTAAAAACGCATATTGCTACATATCAATGTGAAAATTCTCGTATGTCATAATGATTTCAGATTATCGTAATTAGGATGGCAATAATTGACGTTTACGATTAGAACGTGCAGTGATGGATAATTTATCAATTCAACCATTAGCGGTAATTACAGTTCGCAGCAGCGGTATCCTGGTTTCGTCTCTTTCTGG